TTTATAATACATGCGTTACATTTATATGTATATTCTTTTATTTATTATATTTTCTTGTAATAAAAAATCCGTCCGATAGACAATTCAAGGGTTCACATTTTTTTTTATATATACATACATTTCATTTTATAAAAAATTCCTATTTGAAAATTCAAATTTGAACGCCGCGCGCGGGGAATGTGCGTATAGTACGTCAAGAAAACGCTAGAGCGCATTCACCTAGAGAAGAGAAAACCTGCTACTCAAAAGGAAACAACATTATCATAAAAGGCACCAGCGCGCAGAGTACAGGCAGTCCTCTTCCAGCGAGCCTGGGACGCGGAAAATCCGTTGCTCACCCAGACCTGGAACTTTCCCTCACACCGGTACATTACCGCGACGAGCACAAAGGGAGAGAAAGAGACCAAGTACGAAGGCCGAGAGCTGAAAAGTAAGTTTGTACACCACTTACAGGTAACACTTCCACTAACCGGTTCCTACTTGGACTTTCGGTGCTCGATCGCTTTAAGCGTGGAGACGACGCATCCCCAAGTAGTCAAGGCACTAGGGTCAGCGACCACGTTCTTAGGCGAAGTTCCTGGGTCGACGACTGAGCAGTGCTCAAGACACCCAAGGGCCCTGAGAACGACCTAACCTTACGTGACTTGGTAGGATAGGTAGTTACCTAACATTAACCTTCCGTGGTTGTAATAAAAATTTGTGCTAGTCTAACCTAACGTGTTTAAGCGAAGATATTAAGGAGGGAAAAATTCAAATTGTCATTTATGTAAAATTTTCTATTAAACAACGGCGGATAAATTTTATGTAAATTCTAAACTATCGAGTATATTATATACTACCTTTTTTCATTATTAACGTAAATAATCGCGATTACTCAAATATTATTAATACATGTAGGAATTGAAGATACGATTTCCTTAGAAAGATAATTAAAAATAAATTGATTGTACTTATTTATGCAAACCTTCCTCTCCACGTATGATTGCGAGTTCCTTTTTTATAGTTTAAGATAAAAACTAGAATAATAGCTGTTAAGATATGAAATTATTTATATGAATTGAGAATATTATCTGTACCCAAAAAAGGGCAGGAATAAATTAAAAAAGATATTAGATTATAAAGATATTGAATAAGTTAAAAAAAGACATTAAATTAATTAACTTAAGGGAATATTCAGGGAACGATGAGAATCCAATAAAGTAATAATCAAAAAACAATTGCTGTATATTGTGCAGGAATTAATTGATTATTCAACAGATAAATTTTGAAACTTGGTGAAAATCTGAGCAACTTCGCTCTTTTACACAGGGCAACGAACCCGCCCTTCGACATATAAACACTAACATTGTTTGTGTGCTGATTGCTAGTCTTAGAGTTTCCTCAGTACAGATAATATTCTTAGCCGATTGTTACCACCACCAATTAACCGGGGTTATACTCAAAGAAAGGGAAGTCGTAAGACTTTGTAACAAAAAAAGGTTACAGTTATTCATAAAAAAAATTCACTATTTATAATGACTCACCTGCTTATTTATCACGATAGCTTCACGGAAAATTTAAATCTAAGATAAAATAATACTTTTATTCCAATTATAAACAACTACAACACTCCGCCCTCAACCACGAACAAACAGATATCAAATAGATGTTTCAGATATCTAAAACGGGCTCATCAAACATATCGACATATATTTAACAACCGTGGTATGAAGTAGACATAGTAAAATAATGTCCTTTTATGAAATTTAATAATATAATAAAATTAATTAGAATAAATACCGACCGCGTAAAGAAGGCAAGTGTATGTGCAAAGTAAAGCACGTACTTATGTGTGGTATCGTAAAGAAGGTTCGCGAAAAGCTTACAACTGATCTGGCTGAAATTTAGTGTGTATAATAAGGGTTATGACATTTACCTTTTGACTAAATTTAAGCTCTTAATATTTATCAGAACGCGAATAATTCAATGTTCAAAAATGACTCAAAACGACAGTTTTTTGCTGTTTGTGAGAAAATGGCTAAACCGATTAGAGCTCAACGTGGCTTATTCTTTTTGTCTTAAAATTCATCCATTGTTTAATATTTAACTTTTTTTTGTGAGTTTCAGTTTTTTTTTCTAGAAGCAAAAAATCTGTTTTGGCCACTTTTACTATTTTTTGGGGAAAGAGTCTTTGCTGAACATTGCAGGTGTTTAAAAGTAGCACGTTTTGTTATTAATACAAAAAACTAGCAATAAGGTAAATGTCCCAATGGCTGAACGTGCCCAGTGGCTGAACACAAGGAAATATTTTCTTAATCCTACTGTTATTATTGATTACTTATTGGCCAACTAAAATTTAATATGTTTCTAACAGAATAAAGTAAGCGCGTAAAACATTTTGAGCGAGCAAAACGAATAATTATACCTCCAAATAATACTGGTATTAAAATTATTTATAACTTGCTTGAATTGCACAGGCTATCTTAAGCCGTCTGCTAACAAAAGTACAGTACTTGGTAAGACTGTCAGATTATTACTATGAGGATCTTGTGTTGATACGAGATACTGCTGAAATCTACGTGAGTTTTGCACTTACTAAAAAATAATATTTAACCAAGTATTTTTACTTTTTTATTAAAATTATACGCGTCTACCTTTTAGTACATGTAAACTAACAGTGGACCAGTTTATGAACGACTACGTTCAGTCATTGGTATAGGACTCTGTTGTCAAGTGCCCAAAAGATGAACGTGATTTTTTAACTTTAGTCAAGGTGTTTTTTTGAAGGAAAAGTGCACAAATGGTGCTGAAACAGTGTTCAGAGTCTTAAAATTACTTAGTACTGCAAATATTTACTACATAATTTTTTATTGTATTCTGGTCTTGAAATTCATAACCTAAAAATAAAGTAAGTTGTACATAATGTTTAAACACTCTTTTTACAAGTCCAAGAAAACAGTTCTGTCTCATATTATCGTCAGAAGAGTGGCAGCAAAATCAAACAAATATAGTCAACCGTAAATTGGAAAAGGCTCAGGCAGTAGAAAACAGAAAATTACTAAGAGCAAAGCAAAAAGAAATTGAAAATGAGGAATTAACAGCAAAGAGATTAAGAATTGATCAGAAGAAAAAAATAGATGAAGAAATTAAGAAGTTGAGGCAAGAAAAAAATAAATTAAAAGATATAAAAGTTGAACCAACTACTAAAAGTTATACCATATTCCTTCATTTTATTCTACTTGACTGTGGTTTTTTTTTTTTGAAGTGAATGTCTTTAATTTTTCGTTTATTTCAATAAATAGAAATTAGTTTTCTAAATATCGTTGTACTTCTAATATTGTACTATGTACGACTTATTAGTGTACTTAGATTTCTTAAACAGGACAAGAAAAAATCATTTATTCACTTGAAATCATCGTATTTAAATAAAAGTTATCGCTATGTTCAATTATTGGTACAGGTAAAACTGAACGCTGGGACACCGCACGTTTACCTTGTTCATCGATTGGGACAATGATGACTTACTTAAGTAACTATTAATCGCTTTATTTTTCATCCAATATAGGTAAATAAATTTTTAAGTATCAAATGCAACTACGATAACTATAAAAATTCAAAATATACTTGTCAAAAAAAATTAGTATATTTCTTTTTCGATTTCCCAAATCTTAAGGCCCTTACGCGTTCAGCCATTGGGACATTTACCTTAATAATTTTCGTGCTACTATTAATTTCCTGAAATTTCAATGGATCCGAAGCTAAGTCTATCATACTAGCAAATATATATTACATTTTTACGCAAATATAAATGTCAACCGTTGGTTCATAAGTAAGTTGTAATCCATGTAGAATATTTCGGTTTATTAAAGTCTGACTAAGTTTTTAAACAAAGGTTCTGCATTAACAGCATTGACACCGATGCTTATGCAGCTAAAAAGTATGCGTTGAAGTTAAAAAAGAACATCTTAATTGTATAGTCAAACATCAACCAAAATATCAAGAACAAAGCTCAAAAACTTTCGTACTCTATAACTTATTGTGCATCGAAGAGTAATAAAATCTCCATTTACAGAGATCAATTTTCAAAAAGCTTTTATTTTTACACAGTGCATGTCACTAGTAGCATCTCAATACATCCAATTTTTTTTATATAACTTGTAGTAGTTATTTAGAATGAAAATCCATTTGTCATAGATTGTACTGATATTTATTATAGTCAAAGCCCCATTGAGTCATTTTTCTATGAATCCAGAATCTGGCATAGGAAACACCTGTATGAATACCAGGAATTTGATGGACACCACATCCAATACCACCAGTGACAATGCCTATCTGGTAATACTTTTGTTGATCATTTTTTACTGGGCACACTAGTGGGCTGCCTCCATCACCCTGTGGAGAAAATCACTGTTATAAATTCAAGAACTCTTGAATATTTTTCCTTTTATTCTTAAAAAAATTAACGCTATTTCGTACAAAAATGAAGGTTGTAATTTTGAAAGATCTATGTCACCTTAATAGGTATGTATTGATTAAATAAAATAATTTTTAAAAAATATTGTCTTCTTCTGTAATTGTTCGTTGTTATTGTCTACTTCTGTAATAATTGTCGTAGAATCAGGTATTGCGTTTTCATTTCTTTACTCTCTATTATGTAAAAACATTCCTAATGAAACAAAATTTTTTACAAAACTTTTACAGAGCACACGAATCTATAGGTTGTATACACAATATTTATATAAATAAATGAAAAACAAAAACGTATTTTAAGACAACGGAATGGCACATTAAGTCATTAGGGCAAAAAATACAAACATGAGTGCCCAAAGGGTGCTGTTGTTGCATGTTTACGCCTGATTCACGTATTTAGTTTTTCTTACAGTAAGGTAAAAGTGAAATTTTGTATCCGTGGGAGCACTTTTGCGATCAGTAGTAATTTTGGGTCCTAGGGCAGAGTAGTACTTTAGACCCACAGGGCACAAAAAACTTTTTCCTACCTCAGGCGTTTTTGAGAGGCTGGTGTGCCCTCGGTAGGAAAAATAGCATTCGCCACATAAGCCACATCCCTCTGGGGCAACCTTACGAACCTTCGGGCCTGCTTCGCAGGTCCCTTGGGCTGCAAAATAGCCCCAGAGGCAATGGCACTTTTCCGACGAAAACTACCATTTTGCACGTGGGCTTGAAGTGATAACAAGGGCGCAAAATGGGACCCATGGGTGTAAATTGGCAGTTGCATTTTGTACCCTTGGTAAGAAAACTGCTATTTGGGGACTTCAAATTAAGTTTTGTATTTTAAACATTGTGTCTACTTCCAGATTACACTTATTGTATATTTATCCTATAGGCAAACATTTAAACAAAGTTCATAAACATTTTCTTGATAGTGTTATTACTTCAAACTGTAATTGACCTTTAAAAACGTCTGAGGCAGAAAAATCAATTTTTCATTTAAAAAAGGTTTGTGTCTTTTCAAAAGCGTATTTAATCCATATTAACGTATTTAGTATAAAAAATATTCACCTTGCAAGTGTCTTTGTCGTCTTTGCTACCAGCGCAGATAAAGCTATCATGAAGCTGAAATTCCTTGCCAAGCCACGTGTTTCTTAGTAGGTTTTCACAAATGTTTTGCGGCACAATCGATAGCTCGACCATCTTAAGAATATCTTGGTGGCGTTTTTTTGAGCCTAAAATATCAGATCCACCCCAGCCACTAGAAACGCAGTTTTGGATATTTAATTTGGTATCAAATTGAGGCAAACAGACAATATTAACGTTGTCTGTAATTTCAACCGGCTGGAAAAGTCTCAATAGTGCAAAATCATTTATTAAAGTATCTGGTTGGTAACTTTTGTGAACTACTAAATCCGACACATGCCGATCTTGGTAAGGAAGTACTTCAACCTCCATTTTTGTAACCCATTCACCAGCACGGACGATCAAATGTGATTTTGCTTTGCTAAAAGAATATAAAATTAAAATTAATATTAATTCTCTCTTAAGTTTAACAATTTAAACTCCAAGTTAATTTCCTGCGTGCCCTTGATGTCACGCTGTAAACTTACTAAGCCTTATGCAATTTAGTGATGTGGGTAATAAATAATTATTTATTTTAGTAGTAGTAAGTTAACGAGTTGTTGAAAAAAGATACATGAAACTTGCTCATTGCTCATATATTTTTTTATATGTAATAAATATTTGTTGATTGTGATAATTAATTACTTAGTTATTAAATAACTGTGATTTAAAATATTTGAACTTGGCTAATGTATAAAGTCATAATGATACAAGTTAGTCTAATAAAACACGAGTAATTAAATTTATCTACTTAGTTTGAAAAATAAATCAATGAGAATTGTATTGTACAGTAGCTTAAAAAACAGAATAGTAAGAAAATCCTAAATGTGTTTAAAAGAAATATATTTAATTTGACACATTGACGAACTATTTTTAAAAATTAACTCAGCATTCATTCACATAATCGAAATTTCATTTAAATATATTTATAAAAGAAGGTTTCATTGAAAATTCAGTGAGAATTTTATAGTACACCGTGGCCAGACTTCATCAAATGATATATGCAGTACTTGATTTAATTGACTTGTTTCAAATAATTATGGAGAGATGTTATTTTCTTCAAAGGTAATGATATCCCCATAAAAGTTACCATTTAACAAAACTAAAAGATTAGGTAAGTAAGATGCGTTAAGTGAGCGAGATTAAGAATGTCACAGATTTCACATGAATAGACAAGTTAATGTGAAATCTAGGGCATTTCTCAACCTCTGAACGTAATGCGTATACGAGTTTATGTATCCACGTAGCGGGTGGTAATTTTTAGTTACGGAGCACTAATGACGTAAATGATATTATACATTACTTATAAACACAGTGAGCAGCAGTAAGTACGACGCTAGGATGAATTAGAGATCCTTCACAATGTTGTGGGATACCAAACTTTTCCTTCTCCAAAATAGCAACAACCCAAGGGAATTCACTAAACTGGGCTTCATCATTCGTAGCACCAGTAATTTGAAAGCCAATACCAATTGGATTGCGATGACCACAACCTTTGTAAGTCCGTGACTTGAAAGTTATTTTATCGTCAGATGTATACTTGTTCGATGTCAGGCAACATACTTCAAGATAACTTTTACAGTGTCCAAAACTCCTGTATGAAAAACAAACATTTTTTTATCATCCTAGTATTGTATCACTTAATTATTATCTTTATTTTTATTTATACTTTTATTTTAAAAACTCTGGAACCTAGTAATTATATTAGTTTTTTCATATCTCTATATGCAACTCAATGTATATATTTCACTACGCTGTCATGTTCTTCTGGTTCAGCTGTGTCTTATGTTGTTTCGTCTCAAATTTTATCTTGCACCTCCATCTGACTAAGAGTGAATTGGTTTTCTCTACGTCTATGTTTTCTAATTTTGTTTCTACTTTCAATTATCGAGCACCATCCGTACTATCTAGGGTCTAAGTTATGATTATATAAATGATATTAGTGCAGTTATTAAAAATATCTTTAATAATAAATCGATTTGTTAAGTACTTAAACTAATAAACCAGTAAAAAATCAAAATTTACTTATAAATTACACTACCTATTGATTGTATAATAATGACTATCAAATATGCTTTCATATCAAAGAACTTTTTTTCCTGTCTCCGTTTATCTTGCATAAGGTTACTGTTGATACTTATTGTGTTTGACTACACTGTCATTCCTGTATATAAATACTATAAATAAACAACTACTTATGTATGGATACCCCTTGTAGTCAAGATACTGCTTTATATACTTAATGTTTTTCTATGAGGCTAGTGATGAAGGCTTAGCTTGGACGGCGCTAGACAATAGAAAAGCCTTCGGTCGACAATTGAAAATATATATGTATACATCCCATTCAAACATGGTGCTGCATGTACAGATATACTTTTTAATCATAAATGCTCTCATCTTATTGGCTGGAGGCTCTTTTTCTAGCTCCTTCTGAGCTGAGCTTGCCAACACACTATAGTCCTATTCTTGAACTCACATGAATCAACTTTTTTATCTCTGCTTTTTAAGGACGTTTGGTAGCTACAGTTTTGATTCAACAGTTAGCTACTTTATTGACATACAAAAGAGAAGTGTCAACGTTTCATAGTACTAATAATGGAACAATTGGTATATGTAAAAATCTGTCAGAACGTAAATGAACACATTTTCTCGTTACCTTAAATACGTCGTTAATTGATTACGGAAGAATAACATGGCCCATCAGTATTAATTTAACAATAAGAAATCATCACGGGGAGGGTACATTTTTAACTGAGAAAACATATAAGCATTCATTAAAAAAAAAGTGAGACCGGTAAAGAAAATAAAAGAAAAAATGTCGTCGAAAAAGATATGGAAGTAAAGGGAGCCTCTTCTCAATCTCCAGGTGGTACTGACATTTCGAGCTTTAGAGCACATGATTTTGATTAAAATTTTAGAGGAAGTACTAAATCTGTAGAGGCTAAGATCACTTGCAGGCTTGCTATAGAGAGTCATGTTTTAAAAGATTCCAATGTGGAGATAGTTATCTTTATAGTGGAAATCGATAGTAAGTAGTAGTATTGCTGCTGTACAAAAACATTCGCGTCATAATATTATGAAACAGTGGGACATAAATTATACAAAAGAGAATGTCAGTAATATTCTCTATGGTACCAGTAACAAACCAACAAAAGATCTCGATCGTAAATTACAATAGATGTGATTAAAAGTTGAAAAAAATATTTTAGATACGCTGTGAAACAGAAAGTTTGAAAATTAGATGAAATGCATGAAAATACCCCCTACCATGCATTTAGACATAATGGAAACTGTGGGTCATGGTGCTAAGCTAACGAGAAAAAAGAAAATCACGTCAGTTTACAGCTACAGAATGCAACGTTGTTTAAAAAGTTGAAAATTATTTTTCACAAACTAGCTGATAATGCAACAAAATTTCTTATGGCTGCATCTTCCGAAACAAATAAGAGTATCAACAACTCTATGTGTAACATGGCATCAAAAAGTAAACTTTACAGTCTAAGTCAATCGAGCGATTACCTGTATTCAGAGATTTGTCAAAATGTTGGTTAAAAAAAAATTAAGAGAAGAAAATATCGATGTTGAACGAAAACGTAGTGAGCTCACGTAAAATCGCTTACAATTAAAACGCCACAGGGAAAAAAAAGAAGGGTTATCTTACTGAAGCAACATGTTACTATTTATTAGCAGTTCAAGATAATTATGAAATATAACATAATACTTATGATACTTCAATACTTCTCGCTGATAAGCATATTGCTATTGTATAGGGGAGGGTGGGGCGGCCGTGGCACTCTAACTTAAATCAAATGTAGAAGTAACATTAAAGATGAATTCAATATTTAAAAAAAAGAAACAAAAAGAAAAATTGAAGTAGAATTTTAATCCACAGTCAAAAAATCTCATTTTTTACATTATTGTCAACAAATAAACTGAAAATAATATACTTCGAAAATGCTCCACCTGCCCCTACCGGCGGGTGGGGAGTGGCACCCCGTGAGGCAGGCGTAGCACGGTCGCAATATCTCATTTTTATATTGAAATTTTTATGGCATTTTTCTTTTTGTTTTGATTAAGTAAACATCGAAGGGTTGTAATAAATTTGTTATTTGTTGTATATTAATATTTATTTTTATTAAAAAAATTTTTTTTTTATTACAGAAAATATTTCACAAAACTTAAAGTATTACTTAACCATACCGACTTATGTTTAAGGAACTGCTAAATCACAATATAATACTTCTTGTTGCCTTACTTAAAATTATTGCACTTAAGAATTCTTGATTAAAGGATCGCTTAGATAAATCTCATCTGTCAATAATTTACCTACAACTATTTAAGTATTGCACTTCTATTTTGTGGACTTTTAACAGAACAGGTTAGGCGCAGTCAGCTGATAAAGTGCAGCAAATATATACCGCAGCTGCTGACCGTGCTCCGCCTGCCCTACCCTCGGTGCTACGCCTGCCCCATTTTAATGAGGTTTTATATTGTTTATAACATTGTTCAGATAAATTAAAAAAAAAAAAAAAAAAAAAAAATAGCGCTTTGAAGCTGAAGACTTAAGCTATCAAATGCACCCATTTTCGTTAAAAAAATCTAATATTTTCGAGTTGTTTCAAGCCAATGAAAAATGAAGCCAACTTTTTCTCAGCAGTGAAATTTTTAAAATTACATAATAAATCGGAAACGTTATTTTTCGACATAGAAAACATAGAGGATTATAGGATAAGTATTTCTTATTAAATTTATGGCGAAATTCGATTTTTTAAGTCTATGATTATTGATATTATGAGGATGCCATGCTGAGCCGCCGTGCTCTGCCTGCCCCACCCTCCCCTATTTTGATTCGGAGACCACAGGCTTTGGTATGTATAAAAATGAGATGTATCAGATATCTATGAAGTCGGAATTTCTATCATATAATTCTCATGTAACTCCAACTCATCCAACCAATCCCAGATTTTTAGAAATGCAATGTTCGACTAGGATGAACAAAAATTTGTATAAAAATGGAATGCAAGCTTCAACGCTATCAGAGACTGTTGCTGCAAATGATGTTTTAAAATTTTTGTACAGTATTTATAAAAAGTTTATATTATTAGCCCACATTTGTGATTTTGATTTGCAACGTTTACTTCTACTTGTACAAAGTTGTAACTTACTCGATGAGTATAAGAAAATTATCGTTGGTTTAAAAAAAAAACTATTTAAGTATAATGTAATAAATTATTCAAATACAAATAAAAGATAGCATCAGAAACAAATATATGTTTCTATCACTAAAAGGCATTATGTCAAAGGGTGTGTTACAGAGATTATCAGAAGTGAAATTCATTTATGTCGATTTAGTTAATACATATATAGAAAACCAAGAGAAGGCAATATATATTTTGGGAAGGAAAATTGATGGATCAGCAAAAATTTTTGAAAGGAAAAAAATTTTTCACCTTATTCTAAGTCATTTGAAGTTTTTACTGATTGTGACAGTATATAACTTAAAACCTTGTAATACAAAAGCTACGATGTATATTTTATTTATATTACTCACTACTTATAATACGTCCTGAGAATTAATTTTTGCAAACAGACATTTAATGTTATTATTACTTACACCATCTTTAAGAATGTTAATACACCATAAAAATGACTTTTTTTCTGCGATCTAATAATAAAAAATGTACCAAAAATTTGTGCATTTTAAAAACTATTATACAAAATTAAATCCTAATCTCTGTATTTTTTCCTTTTTTTCATTTCTATATTTATACAGCATAAGTGATGTTGCTAAGTCTCTCATAAATGGTATCACCAATAATTTTATTTTGCTACCAAAAGTCCTCAAGTCGCCTGAAATCTTCACGTTTTAGACTTGAAGAAAATTTTTGACCGTGGTTTTGTCTCACTTTTTGTGGTGAAAATATTTTTATTCTTCTTGTAGTATTTATTTTTACAATTTAGTGTGTTAACTCTGCCGCTGAATTATTGTCTGTGAGTCTTCATTAAATTTTTATTGCAAGCTCTTAGTTTCTGTTTATCTACGTCTCTAAGTTAGTATCGAGGTTAGTATCAAGACTTCCCCTTCCAATTTTTTTTTAGTAAGATTTTTTTCCTATAGATCGTTCAATTGCAATACCTTTTAAATATAGTATTGTATGTAGTACACGTAGTTTTCATACGTAGTTTAAGTATTACTTTTTAAAATAACCATTTTTTAATAAACATTAAAACAAAGCAGATAAGCTACATCAATTTATGGGTAGATGAATTTTTTCCAGACCAACAGTGTGGCTAGGTTGTCAAAAGTTTTTGATATTATGAAAATTTTAAATACTTTTTTAGAAAAAATCAATAAATTATAGGAAGCTTAGACCATCGCCCTATAAAACATTACAAACCTACTGCAAATTACACTTATGATCAAAGATGTTCATGCGTGTATGTCCCTCGGACTTTCAGCAACCTTTTGAAACTTTCAATGTACGTCTATTGCTTGAAAATTAATTCGACTTTCCCAGTAAATCCGGAGTTTTAGTTAGAAATTTAACGATTGTCTTAAAAGCTGAAGAGAGACAAAAACAACTTCAAAATTTAATGAAAAAAAATGTAATGGACGTCTGACACGTTTTAGCTAGTAAATTTTATTTTCCTGACTAATCATAAACCTTTAAAATATCAACGTACGTTGCTGAAAGGAGGACATTTAAGGACATTTTTAATGGTATGTGTAACAGTTTAATTTAATATTTTCTACTTATCCATGTATAATAGTATTATATTTCCTAAGGTGAAATTTTGTTACCTTGTACTAGTCGCAAGAAGTTTTTTTGCCACATGGCAGATCGGGTAACTTAGTTAAAATCTAAAATATTATATTCCATATGATTTTTTTCCGTGTCTTTTAGTCAGTCACGTTAGAAAATATTTTGTTTGTCTCAGAATTGAAATGTGGTAGGATAATAATGAGATGGGTAAGTACACAGTACTTAGTTACTGCTTAAAACATTTCCAACCCATGGTAATTACTTACGCGATTTTTTCCTGAGGCACGCGGCAAAACAAACTATACCAGTCTTCCGAAATTTTCTTACAATTATGTTTAAAACTATCATGATAAGAAAGCATGGCGCCATGAGTAATGACGTATAGTAACTATGAAATTTTAATGACGCTTATAAACTGTGTACGCTTACCTTGAAAATTTGATGCAAGATCCATGATTTCATACTTAGGAGCATTTACAACTTACGTTTTGGGGCAAGCATACCAAAAGTTGGTAGAAAGACTTGTTATTAAGTAAATGTTCAAAGCATTGCACAACAGAATAATGAATTTTGCTCTAATACAACAAAAATATGTTTAAAATGTCATGCTTAAAGTATCTCAACAAAAACAATGTTCTGAAGTTAAATAATAATAAATAGCATTGCTCAATAACTAAGAAGAATAAAAAGAAGTAAAGAAATACAATCGGCTTTTTAAGTAGTGCTATTCCAACAGCAATAATGAAATGGAAGCAATATTGGAACAATGGGTGAAACAATAAAAAAAAGGTGATTTTACTTTTCTGTAAGGGCAAGCAACTAATTTTTTTTGTCTCATAAGCTCTTAGAAGCTCTTATAAGATGGTGTCACAGACATAATTGTATTGTATTTATGTAATTATAAGACTTCATTCAGAACAAATTGTTTTAATAATGTTATACTTAAATTCTACAAACAGCTGGTTTTATAAGGCGCTATTGTATGTTTACGAAGCTATTTCTTGTACTAATTTCTTCAACTGGAAAAAAAATTTTGTGAGTACCACTAATGCCATTGGTATGTTATTCCAAAACATAATACTTTCGGGAAAAGTTTGACAAAACTTAAAAACGTTTTCATAGGTCCTCGAATTTCCCGTTGTACTATTTTTTCTCATGACTTTGATATTACTCCACAATATCTATAAAACTAATAAAAAAGATACCAATCTTAACTTTTTTTATAGAGTCTATCATTTTTCTCTATACTAGTTTTTTGACATCTTTACCCATATGTTTGTATTAATCATTGCATTCATATAAAATTAAAATTCATGAAAAATTATTGGAAAAATGAAATGACACATGGACTGCTCAAACTCATTAGGTAAATGTTTAAAAAATTCGTGAGAATTCTATATTTATTTCGTAAAAGTTATTAATAACATAGTCATTCAATCTCGTGAAAAAATTTCTCACTGTACGCTTAATATAATATTCAACAGAAAGCGTCTTCTAATTGTACATTCAAATGAATACATTCATTTCTATCTTATCGTAAAATCATCATGTACATTCATAACTCTTGGGCTTAAAACATATTTTATAAGTTACAGTTAATTCAAAAAGATAAGAGGAACATTAAAGACTCGGTTGCAAGCTGGATTGTTAGCTTTGCAGTAAGGATGTTTCTAGTAGAAGTCAAGGTATTTTTATTCATCTTGTCTATAATTTGCAATGGCCTACTTAAATATATAAAAGGTGAATTTGAATTTTTTTTTTTTTCATTCGAAATTTATTGAAAAATGTAGGATTTTAATCTTGTATAGAAGCTACACGCCATTAAATACATTTGTCAAACATATGTTTGATACATCGTGCAGCCATTACGTTTAAATGAAGTACAAATGTTTCTTTTTGTATTGGTTATATGAGTCTCAATTAACATATTGGCTTTTTTTTAAGTTAATTCATTGTTTACCTATCAATCTCTGTGCATTAAATTTTTGTTAGAACAACACATTCATTTTTCATTTCATCATTAATATTTTTTAATTAACTTTATTATAGATAATATTAAAATGAGTCACTCATAATAATGTCAATAAAGTCAATAATAGAAAACAAAAATTGTTTGAATTCGATAAACTGTATTGCAGTTAAAATTATTTCATATACAACATTCAAAAATCGTGGCATGTAGAGGAGAGGAATGAATTAAATATTTAGGCTAAAGTAAGGTTACTATTTTTTCTATTAATTTAAAACATAAACAAAATCAGTCTTTAACGTAGAACATTGTAGACCAGGAAAATTAGATTAGGCATGCATGATACACAGTAAGGTGAATACTTGATACTTTATGTTTTCGACTACGCTGATCACGGGAAAAATAATTTAAAAATAATTAAAAAATTGTAAAAGCCTGGCAACTTTGAGAAAAAGGTTTGTTAAAGTTTAAAATACTCATTTCTCTGGAACAAAAGCACTTAGCGTTTTATTACGGTAGGTTAAATATAACAGTTTTTGTATGTCCCATAAACCGGGACTAACTGAGTGGGATAACTGGGCCATGCTATTTTTTGATGTGCCATTAATCGATACCTCATATTTTTCTTCATTATTTCAAATTACATTATTATTGCGATCTTATTTCTACACTAAAATAAATTTTTTATTGCTAGAACACGTCATTTTATATTATAATACAAAAAATTTTCCACTTGGACGTATTTTTTAGTTATGAATAGCTTAATTTACTTTTCAGTACTCTTAACCCTGTCTTACAATAGGGACATTTACCTTATAATAATTTTTTATAGCGTCAATTTTAGTAAAAAATAGAGTTCATCAAATGAAACTATGTTTTAATACAGTAAGTATGATACAAGGCATTGCCGTAACAATATAACCTATAAGTTTGAGCTCTTAACTTACTAGCCCTCTCTACTTACGTATACACAGTGTACGGTGAACTTAGATAAGTATCTATACAGCGGGACTGGCCGCCAGTGCGTCGAGTAAACTTCTCTCCCTCCTCTCCGATCCCGCGCTCTCACCTATACTTTGCACTTCCTCGAGTGGGTATACCTATATATATATATGCATGGAGTAACAGACCGTATAAGGAGAAGCATGGCCACAAATGGTGGGGATAGCTCAGCTGCCACTGCTTACGAATCTTTGCAACTAAATATCTCAAGACTTTACGTTCATCAAACTTACATAATTGATTTTTATAGTTTTTTACTGCCCTTTCAAATGGTGTAAGCCATTTCACGCTAAGTGCATTTGTTCCAGAGATATGAGTATTTTAAACTTTAACAAGCCTTTTTCTCAAAGTTGCCAGGCTTTCACAATTTTTTTATTATTTTTTCCGTGATCAACGTAGTCGAAAACATAGAGAATCAAGTTTTCACCTTACTGTGTATTATGCATGCCAAATCTAATTTTCCTGGTCTATTGGATTATGTCACACACAAGCGCTATTACGGCACGTTTCCCTGAACGACAATTAAGTAGTATCGATTCTAAAAAAAGATTTACCCATTACTATAAGGAGGGTGAGAAAGAGAGCCGGAAAAAAAACTATAAGGGCACGAAGTACGAGGAAACTACGACCTACTTTAATTCAAACAAGTGTAACCACAATGCAGGAAAATTATACACAACATATGTGTTTGAATGTTTTTATAACTATGGGTGCAAAGTATTTACACCCTTTAATCACTTTGCACCCAAGGGTAAGAAATGGTACGAAAACTACTTTGTTTTTATTACAGAGTATATTTATTAAATTTTTGAATCGCAAAAGAGTAACGTTTAATCAAAAGGTATACCATAATATGGGGAAATTTATGCACCCATACATACTTG